AAAATTTAAAAGTTTCTAAATTTTTCAAAATTTATGGACATATCAATTTTAAAATTTTCTAAATTTCAAAATCAGGAATTAAGACTTATAATTCCCACATTCGAAACTTCAACATTTAAAATTCATATTTCAACGTCTGTCCTAACGTAAACTTCCTTAACCGATACAAAACAAACATAACCTAACATGTCCCCGTCGCCCTCGGTGGACTAGTTAGCGTGCTCGCCACTGGACCCGATCGTAGCACAACTTCCTTCGGAGGGGAAGTAAAACCGGCGGTCCCATGTCTTAGATTTACGACACGTAAAAGCATGAACGGGATGTTTCATAAGCAAAAATTCAGTCTCTACTGATTCAATACTAGATGGCTCTGGCAATCAAATCAGGTTTTAGTATAAATCGTGTAGAGGCATTGGGCTGGTCACTCACTACTCACAGATAGATACACACTTCAAAGAAAAGGAAACCTCCCACACGGAAGATAATGGTCTTTGCCTACATTATGGCAATTGCGTAGAGTGATGAAAACCATGAGAGAAACTGTCAAAATATCCTGCCTCTGGCCGAAATTAGAACCCGGGGCCTCCCGAATATGAAAGTTTTGCTAACCACCAGACCGTGTCTCTCAGTGTACATAGTGTTATAAGTATGACTTTTTGAGGTCCCAAGGTTTAATTTTCGACACAATCTCTACGTCTATTTTATTTTTATACTTTACTTGTAACAGTATTTTATCTTTAAGCGTGTTAATGTAAAAAAAATCTGATGAAAATACACGTAATATCTGAATGCCACAACCAACAACTCACTTTCAACCTGTGAGACAAATTATGTAATTCCATGCTCTATAGATGGAACCTAGTGTCTTCATATCCTGAGTGAAGTTTCCATTCCTCGTCACTTTCAGACAAATGTAGGAGCAATTTGTATCTTGAAGGAGATCATAACCACATTCTTAGCATTACTTTTACAAGTGACCATGTGCCTCGCTACATCCACAGATAAATTACTTCTCAAACGAAAATATTCACAACACACAACTCATTTCTAAATTTTGTAGTTTACATCCGCAGATCTTCTTCTTCTATGGCTCTCCAGTCCCTATTCGGTCCATGGCCTCCTCAATTCTCCTCTTCCATTTGGTCCTATCCTCCGCTGCCTTCTTCCAATTTCTAATCCTCAGGAGCAGTGTGGCATCCATTTGAACTGCATCCTCCCATCTGTTCCTTGGTCTTCTTCCTCCGACACTTCCTTTGAATACCATCTTTGGAATTCGGATGTCGTCCATCCGAATCAGGTGACCTGCCCATTGTAGTCTCTTGATTTTTACAAATTGTGACAATGGTATGTCTTTATATAATTTATCAATTTCCCGATTAGTCTTTATCCTCCATTCACCTGCTTCTTGTGTTGGGCCGAAAATTTTCCTCAGGATTTTCCGCTCAAACAGATCCACTTCATCTGCTGCATTCTGGTCGAGTACCCATGTTTCACCACCGTATGATATTATGCTACGGATGAGAGTTTTATACAGGGTGATTCTAAAAGGACTTTACAACTTTGAAACTGTATAGAAATTTATTCAGAAGGCTTACAGAATCGGTTGAGGTACGTGAATCTTTGCGCCACATCTATTTCATGTTCCTTGATCTTTATGTGATGATCTAATGATCTCCTTCTTGTTTGTATCAAGGCTTTTGTTTTCTTTCCCTTTCTCGCCTGGCGCTTCAACTACTTCTTTGACTGATCTTAATGATCTTCCCAAAATATTTGTCATCCGCATACCCAAAGTGTGTTTGGTGTCTACTGCTAGTTTTCTAATTACATGCTCGAGGGCAAGATTAAAGAGAAGTGGTGCTAAACCGCCTTGATTTATTGTAAGGCTGTCTCCCAGTTGATTTCGAGTCTTCCATCGTCATATTTGTAAGTCTTTTTAATTTCCCACGTATCTTGAACTGGTGCATTATAACGCTGATTCTAGTTCTATCTATGGAATCACGTGCTTGTTGGAAGTCTACAAATATTTGTGTTACGTTCCCAGCATTTTTCTAGTATTTGCCTCTCCTAAATCAGGCCTGATATTCCCTTCGGCATGTGGCCGTAGCCTATCTTTCAGTATGTTTGTAAACATTTTGTATGCCACACGTAACAGCGATATCCCTCTGTAGTTTTCACATTTTTGTTTATCTCCTTTCTTGTATATAGGACATATTACGCTGCAGCGCTGTTATTAACATACCTCCTCCATATTTCCAGATTTCAGATTGTATCAAATCTTATTATTTTTTAATTTATGAATGGTTTCCTTAACTTCTGTCGGTGTGGGTGCTCGCTGTTCTTCTATATCTTGATAGATTATTAATCCTTCACCTGTCTCCGTTTCAATTCCCCCCGTTTGCAAACTATTGAGTAGTTGTTCAAAATATTCTGTCCGCCTCGATAGGATTTGTTTTCCATTTCCCAACAGCTCTCCTTTCCTGCCTTTGCAGATATTAGTTCTTGGTTTAAACACTTCTTTTATATTCCTCATTTCTTTGTACGCCATATACGTGTTACCTATTCTTATTTTCTCTGTCATGTGTTTCCTTTTTCTTCCTGCGACAAGTGTTTTGAGCTTTCTTATTCAGTTCTTCTAATTATTATTTCTTTTTCCTGGTTGGGCGTTCTGACACTCTCTTTAAGTCTTCCCCATGTCATCTGATATATTTTGTGGTTGATGCAATCCCACGCTTTCCAGTTTTCCTTCTAAATTGGTTACGAAGGTCTTCTTATCTTCTAGCTTACCTTTTGCGCTGCCTCTGTACCATTCTTTGGAAGTCTCATTATCCTTCCTCTGAAGACTGTTTTAACTAAACAGTGGTCCGTCCCACAACTTGCTCCTCTGTATGTTTGGACATTTATTACACTTGTGCCTCTTCTGTCGTCTGTTAACACATGATCGATTTGGTTGCTGGTTGTTCCATCTGGTGATCTCCATGTATTTGTTTCCTAGGAAAGAAAGTAGAGCTGATTATCATGTTTTTACTAGTGGCTAAATCAATGAGTCTTTCGCCATTATCATTGGATGCGTCATGTAGACTTTGTTTCCCTATTGTCGCTCGATATATTTCTTTCTTACCAATCTGTGCATTTAGATCGCCCACTATCATTTTGGCATCCGCAGATAACTGAATTATATTTGACAGTCACTCACGATACATTTCTTTGATGTATTCATACACACAAAATCTGTAGAACTGAAGTCAAGCTCATCTCATGAGAAAATAAGAACAGGTCATTGAGTATTATATTTTAACTATCTCTGCCTGCATATTTCACTGGTGGTTTATACGTTAAGTAAACCATCCTCCGTATTAGAAGCCACATTTCGGGCTTCAGAATCACTCTTGACTCACTGAATTATATTATTTTCATACATTCAAATTCAGATCGCATTTGGTTTTGTTCTGTCCTGATACACGACACAGTAAGTAAAGTAAAGTTATCCCACTATGTGCCATTCAGGCGCTTGGGGGGAACTCCTCTCCTTCTTGACCTTTCGGCACTAGATCGGGGTGAGTGGTCAGCATCACGCACCGGCCGCACTTTACTCCCTGGGGAAAGGACCCCGGTACCCGTTGGACAGGAGGCTGGGTGGGCCCCAGAGCCGGTCTGGACGCAGAGGCTAGAGGAAGAATCCTCTGCCCCCGTCTGGGATCGAACCCCGGTCGCCTAGCTCGTAGCTAGTCACTATACTTACTGAGCTACGCCGGCTCATACACGACACAGTACTTGCATGTATTCTCCATATTCATATCTTCTAATGCAATGCATAAACAAGGTGTTTTGTACGTGCTTTCGCTCTCGCAGATTTCAAAATTTCAATAAAAAATACAACACGAAACTGAAAAGTTATCACACTAATCATACTTGTTATAAACTGCCTAATTGCATACAATGCAATTCCCTACAGAAATATATGCAAATACAACTGAAAGTAAAATTCTTTGATGTTTTATGTTGTCGTAATAATTATGACGACTCATTCATATTATGAAATTACATAATTTCTACCCCAGAGAAACTTACATAGCAACTTAATCATTTGCATATGCTGCTGGGTAATTAGTGTGTTCGTGTTAACCGAGTTAGCCAACTAACACTTTGAAAAATACAAATAAAAAGTCTTCTGTCTTACTTTCATCATTTAGTGGCACTCTGTACACTAGAACACAGCAGAACTGATCAAATAAAATGCACTGTTAGCCAACTGGCTGATGCTTACACTCATGGTGAGCATCTGGATGGCTGGAGCTGATTAAAGTTTCTTATCCGAGCAGTTCGACTGCATTCCGGTGTATGGGGCACCACTTAACCACAAAAGTAAGACAGAAAACTTTTTTCATTTTTAAAGTGTTAGCCTGGCTAACACAGGTAACGCGGTTAACGAGAACATTCCACGCTGATATAAAGTATACACTTGGTAACAAACACAATTTTACTTAACTTCTTTTTGGTTCAAATTGCCTGTTTTGAAAAGAAACAAATCTTTAAAATCTTAAAAACTAAATGATGTTCAATGATAAATCCCGACTACACCTCACGTGCCTACGTCAAAATATTATGATCATTCACAAAAATACATCGACACATACCGACTGTTCACTTGTTCACGGATTTTTTTAATTCTTTTATACAATATGGTAAAACATGTTTGTCACACAGGGCGATTGAATGTCCTGTAAAACACGGATGCCAACCAGCCTTTCATTCCAGTTAATGTGGTTAACGGTTTAGCCAGATGATATTTTGATGCAATTAAAGTTTCACTGTGCTTATGCAATTTAATCAAGTGATTTTAAGCAAAAAAAAAAAGCATTCTATTAGCATGGGATAAGTTTCAAAACTTCAATCATTTAGAAGCTCACAAAACCCTAGATTTCAGAATGGGGTTTCTTATAACAATTTCCACAACTGGCAAATTTTAAATTTGAAGGCAAATAAGAGAAATAAACAACTACTTCCTTTTCTTACATATTTCATTCATATTCATAAAGTAACATACATCATGGAACATCTGATTCCATATTTTTAGTATCGGTACAGCTCAAATTTGAATGTTACAACTTTCAGTAATTGGCTATGGTTACATCCAAAATATTTCTAAACATGGTGTGGGATAATAATGTCTATACACCGGCTTTCAAACAAAACCGAAGAAAGCCAATGTCTAGGCAAAATTTTGACACTGATCCTTACACAAATCACAACAGACATGGACCACTACGGTTTGATTTTCTTTGATTCTAAACGAGAATATATTTCGCAAAAAATTTGTATACCAATTCTTGTTCCAGGAATATTTCTGTTAATGAATAAGTTCCACATTCACTTTATATTCATACAAAATGGTAGCACTGGGAAAACTTAAAAATGCATAACAGAAATACTTCTATAAAATAATTCAGGACTGTACAAAGTATCATAATGCTCACCAGCAACTGATAAATAGGCATTCAAGACGAGTAGCAATAGTAGCAAATATATACCATTATCTGATACAATATAATAAAACAAGTTGTTCCAGCAAAAAAAAAAAGTGACATATAGAACCATCTGTTTCATTTAACATGGTTTCATGTGAAAATAAACACAAAAACTTGGTGGATTTCAGTGTCATACGATTAAAAATGGATTTGAATAATACGGAAAATTTAAACATCTTGGAAATAGTCGTAAAAATAATACTATCGCTGCCGTCCATTCCTCTGTTTCAGTATTTACACAAAGAGTTAGTGGCACAGGAAGATGGTAAAGTGCTGGCAGTTGATACGAAACACACAACGTACACCAGTAACGATTAGGGAGAACTGCCAGCAGCAGTAGTGTCCAGACGAGGCCTTTTCCTAGAGCCCGATTCCTCGGGCGTCTCAAGATTCATGTGATCTCTCTTCTTTTGGGAATTCTGAAACATTACCTCACATTCTTATTAATTACTCAACTGATGTATGCAGGGTTCATATCTCATAACACGACACATCAACAACAATTAAAATACACAGAGTACAAATAAATTACATATTTAATCTCTGGAGAGAGCAATATTTGCATTCTTCCCGTCAAGTGTCCCCCTTCTTTTTAAAATAAGGTTTCTGCATTGCAAACGTACAACAGTACTCTACGAACAGAGCTAAGCATCTCCAAACATTTTCTGCTGCAACCACAAACTCGTCACCAACAGGACTTAATGACACACTGGTTCAATCTTTCAAGCACTTTCCACTGTTAAATTAAATC